CAATTGACACATTTCATTCAGAGCTGTTGTCTATAGCACTTGGTAGACCGATTAAGACTGGCTACTAAAAGAAGGAAGCTGGCCAGTTACCTCTTAAGGGAAAAAACTGATCTGTGTACCACCAGCTTTGGAGGCCAACTCTGACAGTAATCAGAGAACAGTCTTTAAACTCTGTTCTCCTGATGGTCCCCAGAGAATTGCACATGCAGGAAAATCATCTCCTTCTGTACTGCCAGCTATTTATCAGATCTGAACTGCACTCCACCCTGCTGAGGCATCGGTGACACCACCTTGGGTCAGCTCTGTAATATGCCACAAGCGGCTGATACACCCAAATTTCATTGGCAAGTGGGGACAGAGTAGAGGTGAAGGAGAGTCAGGCAGTGGCAGCAGAAGGGGGACTGTTAGGGCTGCGTCCTCCATGCAGTATACTGTCTTATCGATAATGGAAATGAAAATGGGTCCATGACCCAAGGGATGGGATCTCTTCTTGTCCCACTATCTGCTGGAACAAAGAACATACTCCCTGGAATCAAAGTTGGGCCGATACTAAAGATGGAAGTTCTGCTTGGTAACAGAGGAAGTCTATTGTGAGAGCTTAGTGGATGATGGTAGAATTGGTTAAATCTATCTATTGCTAGTGACAATAAATACTTGGTATTAAAAAGACAGGTGAAATTCAGAATTACGGAGGAACTGGACAGAGCTCACTGAGTTCATTCCAAAGGAGCTGTCCCTTCAAAAATGTTCATTTTCATTTTTTATCTGCATTTGCGGTACAATTAGGGTGAAAGGTGTCAAATGGAAGGCAACTGCATGTTTGTACAGTAGAATTTCTGTAAAGTTAAGACAGACTCAGCTTCTCATCCGATTTTGAGCTGTGGAAAACCTTTCTGAGTGGACTCATTTGTTTGTGGAAAGAGATGGACAGTTTCACTCTCTTCTGTGAGTACTAGGATGGAAAAGTGCGTGGGTGACTTGAAGAAGGTGAAAATGGAGTAAAAGCAGCAAACAGGATACATTAACGGTGGTGCAGGATTTTCACAATACGACTGAGGGTGTCTGGAGTGGCAAAAGCCAAATACTGAGCACAAAGCCAGTCTTCAAGGCTGACCCCACCCTCCCTATTCAGGGACTTCTCAGCAAACCTGATCATCAGCAGTGTTCGTTTGATGTCCAGCCAGTTTTGGAGCAGGGCATTCCTTTGCACTGGGCTGGGGGTGGTGGTGAAAGTCTGGAAGAGATCTTCCCGGGGGCCCCAAAGCAGACACTGGAGGATGCCTTTGGCATCTGAAATGAGGATCCGCTCAGAAGGGTTGGGATTCAGGAGGCAGTTGGCCAGCTGCTGAAGGCCCCAGGAATAGGGGGAGCGGAGCGGGATTCGAGGCAGGTCTGCTCGAGTGTACTCCTTCTCCTTTAGCTCTGGGTTCTCATCAAAGGGGTTGGGCAGGTGTAGCATCTCATAGATGAGGATGCCCGTCTGGAACTCATCACACTTTTTGTACTGGGTAGCTGTTATGATCTCTGGGGCGAGGCGAGACTGGTCCCGGAGAATGTCAGGATCCACCAGGTGGCTCTTCTGCTTGGCTTGAGAGAAGTTGCTTACTATAAGCCTTGTGGGACAAGATGAGGTGGGGTTGGGCTCCGCAGGCCCAAGGCCTTGGGTGGTTCTCCCGGGCTGGTAGTGGACAAGTAGCAGGTTCTCCAGACGGAGATCGCAGTGAGTGACATGGTAGGGTTTGAGGTGCTCAAGGCCAGAGCACAGCTGTAAGAGCAGCAGACACACTTGCCTCTCATATAAATCAGGGCTTTTCCCATGTTGGGCCAGAGAATCTTGCACGAAATCAGCCATGGTGAGATATGGAACCTCTCTGGTTATGACCACAACATGGCTTCTTTGCTTCCTGCTAATAACTCCCTGGCTTTCTTTCTGGGATGACTCTATTTCAGAGCAGGGCTCTGGGCTTTTCCCAACAGTTTCTCCTTTCACATCTTCATTCTCTTGCATTTCATTCTCTTCCTCTTCAGGGGCATCAGGATCCTCCCAGGGAAGAAGACGCTTAGGGACTTCAGCAAGGAAATGACCACAATCCTGCTGGATGTTAAAATGGACAGCCAGACTCTGACGAACAGCCAAACTGTGATAATACTGCTGAGATTCTTTAGCTTTGCTCTTACAGATCTGAAAGAAGAAAGCAAATAACACAAGTTAAAACACGTACTTTCATAACCAGGCTTATGATGTGTAAAGGAGGATTAAAATGGAAGGTGACTAGTTAGGAACAGTATTATAATGAAGTCTTCAGAAAGGGTCGTCCTGTGCTGAGTAACAGTAATAATGGCAGTAGCCATTTCTTAAGGCTGTCTACGTGCTTGGCACTTTATGTGTATTATATATATCTCTGATCTCCACACTAACCTTCAAAGCAAGCTAAGGATCTAAGAATAAAACAAACAAATGAACAAAAAAAAGGCAGCCTAGGGCTACCAGTTTGTAAACCTAAGTCTGTCTCCACTATACCTTATACTTCACCTAGAAAACAGAACAACAAAAAATAATTTTTCACCTACTTTCTGTGGAGGTTTACAGCCAAGACTTACACAGCAGCTCAATAAATGGCTCATAGATACCTTATTTTACCACTGGTCAGGAGAGTGACGTACAATTGGCCAAATAAACTGCGGGTTTTCCTAACTTGTCAGTGAACGTCACTGTGATGGTTACAATTCAGGCACTCATAACTCACTGGCAAGGTAGAGATAGAGGTTCGAGAGAATCGCTGGTCTGGCCTGGTAAAAACAAAACCAACATTTTGATGGCAGGAACCTGAGTTTTATGTTTTCTCTTAACAGACCTCATTTAAGGCCCAATATTCAAGGCAATAAGGCCTTTTAAAAAGAACTTTATTAAGTGGTTACAGATCAAGGAAGAGTTTTTTGATCAAAAACATTATCCAACAGTCCTACACATTAAAACTATTGTATTTCTAGTCTTAAAGGGTTAGAAAAGCAAAAAGTAAATAAAATCTCCCCAAAATGGATTATCTTCATTATATAATGGAGAAGCTGACAGTGGACGACTCAGTCTCTAATACTAGTTCATAGGTCATAATAACATGGTCAGGACAACTCCTCTACAACCCTGTTAACTGAGGAGCACATTTTACACTCTTCCCCCTCAGCATGTGTACAATGCCATCTTTCACAGAAATCAGAGCCCCAACAACAGGCACTCTGCAGTATTTACACTGCCCATTTATTGCAGTTATTCAGAAAAGCAGCAAATTTTAAAAAAGATTTTCTAGTCATTTTTATTTAAAATAAAAATGTACATATTATTAGGAAGATGCTGATGGGTTCCCAGTTCTGAGAGGCAGCATGCTCTGATTTCCATTCAAACAGATATTTAAAAAAAAAAAAAAAAGGGTAAAGGAGTATCAAGGGGAAAGAGGCATCCCTCTCTCGTGTACTGTATTTACATATCATATATTATAGTTAGAGACTTGATCAATGCCATAGAAATCTCTCTCTTTCTTTCTTCACTCTACTGCCTCTGAAAACAAGTTTCTTCAAGTCTTCTACCACCTACCTAATCAGTTTGAAGGTATACGAGGCATTTCTTTCTTCTTTAAGCAAACTTCTGGTTTTGAAACAGAGATATCCCCAGGCTGAATTCAAGTTCGAATATATATCTTTCAGAAAATATTATCTTTGGAAAGCTCTCAAAATCTCAGCACATGAAGTATAACATATAATCCTACATGCTCAACAACTACATGAATTCTTTCTATACTGTACTGTTGACAATATTTCATGTTCATGTGTCACCAGATATTTGAAAATCCTATATTAGTCATCATTTAGTTGTATGGAAAGAGGCCCAGGGCATGGCACCATTAACCCCATTTCTAGATTTAATAATTTGCTCAATATCACATTTCCTACTGGAATGAAAGTTCGAAGGTCTCAACTCCTCAGCCTTTGCAAAGTCAATCAAATATCCGAGTTTGGCTGAATGAGACTGTGTAGTTAAACTCTAGCTGTCATGTTACAGAAAGTGTACTCAACCAAAGACTTGGGAGGCCTGGGGTTTAGCCTCGCCACTAGCTATGTAACCTTGGGCATATTACTTAATTACTCTGGGTCTCAATCTCCCTAATTAAGGAGACAATATAAAGAATATTGAAACCTACTTCATAGGGTAGTGGTAAGGATTAAAATAGATAAGTATGCAGAGCATACCTGTAAATCTCAAAGCTGTACACATGTAACATTGATAGTGACTAAAACAATGAATGTGAAAAGTGATGCAATATTATAGAATCCTCATATTTTTTCAAAGAGAGCAAGGCAAAAAAAATGAGTATTTCTTTTGAGTCCTGAGAGCCACTTGCCCCAGCGGTGAGTCTCTCTGACTACATGTTTGGCAGAGGGCAGCTAAAATTCAACACCTCCATGCCAGGGTCAGCCCTGAAAAATAAGTCAAGACTTGCAGTATGTTCTGATCCAAGAAAGATCTACCTAAGGTTTAGAGAGAGAGAACTGTTTCGCCAACTTCGGTTTTCACTATGTCAAGTTGCACTAAAAAAACTTGCCACCTTCTGGTTTGGCATTAGAAGCAGAGAAGATATTTTAATTGTAATTATTATTCTAATTGTGACATTCTAATTGTATCTACACACACGCCCACACACACACACACAATTTGTGTAAGATTCCCCAGAGACTTGTGAATAGGTAAGAACATGGACACTATAACAAAAATTTATGTTTAGCTTCACAGATCAACTTGAGATAAAGGTTCAAAGTGATTTACAAAAAAGAAATGATAAATTGTTCAGCCATTCTGGATGCTCTGAAGGAAAATGGTCTGCCTAGATAGCCAATCCGAGTAGATGGTACTTCCTTATCTCTTCATCTCATAATATGTAGAAAATCTGAAGAACAATGGTCACTCTAGTTTTAAGGGCAAAGGAAATAGGGAGAAGATTAGAGTGTGAAAGAGGGAAACAAAATACTAGAGCTTTTAACTGGTACATAACCATGAAAACAGTTACAAGCAAAACACAGACCTATGGAGATTTCTATAATAGGATTTCTCGGATGATGTGGATCTCATAAATCTTTATTACGGAGTCTGCAAAGATGTTAATTTAGGTGGGAGTATTATATTATTCTATGTGCCGCATAGTAGCCATTTTTCAAATATTAATAACTTGACTCCTTTAGGTTTTCTTAAAAAAATAACCTGACTTCAGATGATAAATTTCTAGTTCCAAAAGTCATTTCAGAAAACAAGCCACTCTTTCTGGAACAAATTGACAGGGTTTTTCCTGCTGGTTGAGTTTTTTCCTTCTTCCTTTACCCAGGGATCAAAGTAACTCCTTATCTTTCTTGAAAGGAATTCATATTTCTTCCTTTTAAAGGGTAATTGTCTTGAACTGGAGGAGTCTCATGAAAGAGTCCACTCTTCAAGAAGAATGACTTCCACAGGATTCAGGCTCCCTAAAATTTTGAAATAGGAACAAAACTAGAGCTGGAATGGTCCCATATCTTCATGTAAGATTCTCCCTTTTAAAGAAAGAAAAATCACCTCATATTTGTTTTGACTGTGAATGGAAAAACCTATTTCAAATGCTGCCAATTTTATCAGATTCTGTATTGCCTACATTTTCAGAATGGGAAGAAAAAGCCACAGTAACATTAGAGGAAGCTGTAATATCGATAGCCAGGTGTTATTTACATGTAGACTGTATAGCAAAAGGACAAATCGTAAAATACACCATAGGTCCATTTTCTGAACAAGTTTTTGGTTCTAAGAAGGTGGCAATGTCAAATTTATGCAAATGGAACACTTCATGTGAAGAGCACAAGTGGAAAGAGATGCCCACGCTGGGCACAGTGACCCTTGCCCATTTGCCTACTCACAGGGCATGCCTTCCTGAGCTATTTCTCCAGAGGACACCAGAAGAACATCAAAAAGGACAGCCAGCCAACTGGTAGTTACATACTCACCAACGTGGGCAATGCACTGTCACAAAAATAGAGGCTTGAGGGGAAACTGAGTGCTTGCCTGAGTTAATTAAGGTGAGTGAGGACAGAGAAGGGGAAAGAAAAATGTTGATTCTTATCAACTGAACATTCAAACAAGTATCTGATAGTTCCTCAGCACTTCCAATTTGTAGGACATGGCATCCTGAAGCAATCCAGACAGAGCCCCAAATACAGTGGGGGTGAGTATCTCTTAACTACCGATAAATCATCTGTTGGAGAATGGGAATAAGAACATGCTTCCAGAATCAGAGCCAAATTGCCTTTCCCTGAGACCTTCTTAGATTCAGGTCAAAGCACACATAACTTACACAGGCCTGATCCTAGAGGAGAAACAGAGTATTACAATGATTCCTCATAGACAACTCAAAAAGTTTAATTTCAAACATTCATTTCAGTACAGGGGCTCATTTTCTGTGTCGTTTGTGACAACTGGTCTACATATCTTTGAGGCAAATTTGCCATTAGAAAGCATTTATGTTTGTAATAATAATCTCAACAGAGACAGCTAACTTAAAAAGCAGATTTTGGGGGACTTTGACTATAAAGCCCCCATTAAAAGCAGCTGGGAAGGGGAAGATGGCATTATATGTCAAAACTACTGACCCTTTCAGAGTGCCCACAACGACCAACGAGTATGTACATCTTACTACTCTTTCAATACTAGGGAGCAGAACAGATATTCAGTTTAAGGCAACAAAGTAGGGAGGTATGAGGGAAAGGTGGGCATTTAGCAAAACAAAATGGCATGGCTATGGAATAAATCAGTCATGAATGGAATGGTATTATCCATTCTTCTTTACTTGACCTTTCCTCCCAAAGTCTCCTTTAAATGCTGGTGTTTGGGGGCGGGTCTGCTCTCTGTTCTCTTTTCTCATTGATTCCCTTCAGCAAAATCATAGCGTCCTTGATATGTTGCTGACTTCCACATCTACATTTGTAACCCTGACTTGTGTCTGGGATTTAAACTCATCTATACAATGGCCTATTTGATTTATCCCCATGTATGTCCCATATCACAGATGCCTTAATAAGCTCAACATAATCAAACCTGAATTCTTCTTCCCACCAAACCCCGTTCTTCCAGCACTCCCTCTGTTGGTGAATTATGCTGACTTCTCACCCAGATGT